AGGGCAGCTGGGCGCCAGCCCGGAGCCGCTGGCAGCCCCCACCCCGAGGGAACCCACCCGAGACCTCGGCCTGCAACGGGCTGAAGGTCCCTGCTTCCTCCCCGGGGCCTCCCGCTGACCGGGCCGTTTCCTAACCAGAAGTGAGCCCCCCTTCCTTCCTCAGATCCCCCCCTTCCCTCCTCAGATCCCCCCTTCCTTCTGGCGTCCCTGCCCCTTCGGTGAAGAAGGCGGTTGGTTTCTGGCAGCAGAGGCCCCACTGGAGGGACCTGAGGGGTCTTGCTCCCCCGGATGGAGGTAGCTGGGTGGAGCCCAGCCAGTGCCCCCTCCTGCGGGGCTGCCTTCCTGCCGCCGGCCACGCCTGTCCTTCCCCCTGGGGGTGGGAGGCCCGGAGAGGTGAGGCCTGCTGCCTGCTCACAGCGAGGAAGGGGCGAGCAGAACTGGGTCTTTTTGACTCTAGAGTGGGCTCTTATCTGCACCCCCTGCCGCCCACCCAGCCTCGGGGGCACACGTGGCTTCCCGTCTGTTCTCACTGCGCTGGGTGGGGCAGGTTTCCCACTTTTTCAGCAGACAATGAGCCCCTGACAAGTGAGACAGGCTGAGGCCTGAGTGCTGAGCAAGTGGGCATGTGGTGTGGACTGTCCCTGGGGGCTGATGCTCTCACTGGGAGACACCAGCATCCCAGAGGGCAGGCAGAGCCTGGGGTCCAGGAAGTATATCAGGATTACAGATTATATGGTGGCGGGGGTGGGGAGGGGGCTTTCTGAGACAGGCGCTTGAGCTGCCCTGAAGGCTGTGTACAAGGTAGCTCAGGTGTGTGGCCCGGTGTTGCAGCACAGCCTGTGCAAAGGCCCCGGGGCAGGGCAGGGCCGAAAGCCCAGCTGAGCTCGCTGTGGCAGCCACGGGCCAGCCTGGACAGATGCCTGCTCCTCTAGGAAAGCTCCCTGGGGTGTCATGATGTGATTCAGGCTGATGGGGCAGAAGCAATTGGAACTTGGGCCAAGAGAGGTGTGTTGGCTCATCTGTGAGTTTAGGGGAACGTGGAACTGGGGGAGGGGGCTTTGGGGCCTGCTATTGGGGCTCTGTTGGCTTCAGATCTTGGGGTCTTAATCCTGTTCTCATGTGAGCTGATCCTGGGTCTTTAGGGGGGGCGGTGAGGAGGACCGAAGGATGCAGCGCTGGCATGGGGGGTGGGGGTGTCTGCAGAGGCCATTTTGGACAGGCCTGCGTGGCAAGGAGGCAGCGTGTGAGCTGATCCTGGGTCTTTAGGGGGGGCGGTGAGGAGGACCGAAGGATGCAGCGCTGGCATGGGGGGTGGGGGTGTCTGCAGAGGCCATTTTGGACAGGCCTGCGTGGCAAGGAGGCAGCGCCCGAGACACACACACAACCAGATTTGGGGATTAAGCTAATCTAGTTGGTTCAGATGTTTCTGTGGTGTCAGATAATTTTTTCCAATGGAGAACAAGGGAACCCAACACTGGCCGCTGCCTGCCAAGAGAATGCACAGTCAGAATGAAAGGA